ATCTTACTAAAAGTAACCATAAGTGACGATCTCATGTACTTACAAAATAATTTGAGATCTGAGGAGAAAGAAGTCCTATGGACAAGCACGCAGTTCAATAGAATATTAGATGAATGGATGCTTCGTTCTAATTAGTTGTCGACGTTAGACGAAACGTAATATATTGTCTATGATTTTTTTTATCGCGTTAATCTTATTATTTTAGAGTTATAGACAAAAACAAAAATCTTATATATTATGGTATAATTTAAGTAAGAAAATTATTCATATATTTGTGTATGTACAAATGTAAAATAATCTCGTTAAAAAAAAAAAAATAATTTAAATACAACGAAACCTTTAAAATGAAAAAAAATTCAAGTTATAGAAAAACTGTAAGTACATATTGAAATGCATGGGTTAAGAATTCATATAGATTCCATCGAGGTATCGAAAATTTGACTTCTAGGTATAGACGTTACATTATCGAGGTTCCGCTGTAATAATTTTGTTTCTGTACATCTTCTAAAGGCTATAGGTACCCTTTAATATGTAAACATTTTATATTAAATTTGTCATCATTATAAAATATTATGTTAATTCCCTGAAGTTGATGATTAGTATTTAAGATCAGTATATAAACAATATACACAATAGACACGCCTGATGAACACAATATATTTTAGCGCAGTACATTTGAAAAACTTTAGGTGTACCGTGTACGACTTAAACTAGACAACTAGACTCATCATAGTTTATCATCAACGTAAAGTATAGTAGGTACTCATTAGTTATAACTTATAATATAAAATTAATATTAATATTTAACAATTCTTATGCCTGATTTTAGTGATTTTTTACAACGATAAAATTAATTTGATCTGTTTTAATATCAAAATGTATACTTAATACTAACAGCATTATCATTTAAAAACATTTATGTTTTGTAATTATTTGAATGTGTATTAATTAAGATCAGATAACATTCTAAATTAGGATGTTATTTGGTATATATATATATATTATTATTTTTGGTAAATAATACTTCTATTAGTCCTATTTTAGTAAGTACCTTTTGTCGAACTATCATAATTTTTACTAGAAGTTCTAAACAAAATAAAAAAAAAGGGTAAGTGGATGTCGCTCTGCTGTACATTAGGGGGTGGGATGGACCTCTGACTAGGGTAGGTTAAATTTGAATGCAATGATATAGGTATCATTGTATACGAAAAACGATTCTGAACGGAGATGATTTGTCAGTCTAGGATATATTATATTTAAATAATTTCATATATTCTATTTTGAAACAAATATTTTATTTTTCAATTAGGGCGCATTTTGCATAAGGCATGGTTAATCAATTTTTCCAAAAACGTTGCCTGTAGTTATCATAATACCTTATATTATCATAGATATATACATTTACCTGGATTGAGGATAAATCATTATCGTTACTGTCTGTGTACAGCATAACCAGTCGAAATAATGCTTCAATTTCAAACTTAGGGGGTGGTTTCCGATGGAAAAGTGAATATCCTTGGTGCATTATAGAGGTCAAAAGTTAACATTTTCCAACAGTTTTCAAAAAAATCGAGAAAAACAAAAAAAAAAAATGACAGAAAACGGGAATTTTTACGCAAAACCAGTTTTCGACCAAATCGAATTCGA